GCTGAAAGATTTGTAGCTAATGGTACGTTCGCGGCAAGACGGGAGCTCACAATGCATCCATGGGTGTGTTGTGGTCACCTGTCCAGCACTGCTCGTAGACGCTCATCAGCTGGTTCTCACATTCGCAGAGGTGCCGTTAGCTTCTAAATCTTCATATTTCAATTTTGGTAGACACGGAACGCTCTTTCATGTGCAAATCTGCAGTAATTGTAGGAAAGTGACCCGGACAAGAGTGGCGGAGATGAGACAGAGGGGAAGGTGCTCGCTGCTGTGCTCACCATCCCTTAGAACATTGATTAGTGTCATCCTTCAGGCCGTTTCGTGGGAAAAGTTTCCAACAATTGCCCTCAATAACTACCCTGCCCTGGATTCTCCCCGACTCTGCGGTAGACCTTGCATATATGGAGTGGGGAGCTGAGAACTAAGACCTTCCATACATGGAGTCGGAAGCTGAGAACTAACAAGAAAATTATACACCGTTTACTGCACACGCGAAAACTAGCTTAGAAAAACCAGAATTGAGGGTCTTTAAAGCACCTCAGTTGCCCAAGCATTGCTGAAGCGCGAAGACACCCGGAAATTCGTTTATGAGTTTGCCTATCGTAGCACAGAATGTCACAAAGAGGTATACAACTCGGTTGAAGTTCTAATTTTGAAACTCCCATGTTGGGCAAATGNACAGAATGTCACAAAGAGGTATACAACTCGGTTGAAGTTCTAATTTTGAAACTCCCATGTTGGGCAAATGGCCTGTACTGACACCTCTGACTGCCACTGACGACTTGACTGCAGAAGGCGATCTTCAGTGAAAATCGGGATTCCGGCTATACTCGCTAGTGTGCTTGCGTAAAAATGACTTTTTTGCATACAATTAGATTGGGCAGTATTTGGATGGCCGTATTTCTGTCAAATGGGGAGGCATCACACCTTCGCACAGAGGGGCGTCGCAGTGGCCGCTCACGTGCAGATGGCCATCATCATCTGCAAATCGCCAGTGATCCGCCCGTCAGAAGTGCTGTAGACGCTCTGGATTGTGTCTCAGGAGAGTCTGAGAAGGCCCTTAAAAGGAATACACGGATGAATTCTGAAACAGGAAATGTCGAGATGATGGATGCAAACGCGCTTGTGACCGGGGAAGCACGTGAGTCCCCCAAAGCATTACTGCCCGGTTTAAAACATAGAAATTGGTTCAGGAGAGCTTCGAGATGAGGCGACGCTCCATGAGCAGCGTGCACAAGAACTTGAAGGCATCAAGAGAGCGCAAAAGAGTCGGCACATTTCAAACATGAAAGACATCCAAGTCCGGAACAACCACATTGCACTAACATAGCGTGCAATAGCCGCATTTATCCAAGGAAAAGGATCAGGCAGAAATTTCGAAAATGGAACATGAATTGGAGCTTCTCAAAGAAGCGGAATCTTCAGCCAAAGTAGGATTTTATGCGCCTGACCCATGTTCATGATTGCATAAAAGATGATCATTTTCAAGAGGGATCTAGACGAAGAGAAACGCCTTTTAAGCGAGGCCCAAACACACGCCTCGGTATGCTGTACCGATTCTTAAGTGTTTTACGTATGCGCGTACAATGCGATAACTTAGGCGAGCAAAGCAGTGCGACTTCAACAACAGAGCAGCAGACACAAGTCTCGTGATGAGGTTTCGGCGTTGATACAATATCCTCTCTTGGGCTTTACCTTGCCCTCGTCAATCAACCCTATTGAATATTTAGCGAGATACAGCACAACGACTGCTGCGTCTCCCAGTGCTGCCTCTAAAGCTGGACCAGTTGGAGCTCTGGCTTCGGGCAGCGACCGGGGGAAAGCTGCAGGAGGGAACAATCGTCAGCTGCTACGAGACCGCATTGAAATTTTTGGCGATGAAGCCGCTCTCGAGGAAGTGGAGAAAAAGAAAAAAAAGACGAAAGCAGCAAAAAAAAAACATTCCAAGGGATCCAGCCACGAACAGTGCAAAGGCGAATGCGGTGTCGAGGAAAAGCTGGAAGACCAAAAAGCAGAGCAGCAAGTGGAGGAGGAGGAGACTAGTGGTCCAGTTAAGGCTCTTCACGATGTTGAACGTGCAATAGCCTCTCCGTTCAGCGGCGATGATGCAACGGCAGTCTTTAGCGACTCCTCTGAAGACGTGGATATTTCAGGGGACAACTTTGAGGGTATCATGGAAGACCCAGATGAAGATGGAGAAGCCTCATCTAATGAAGCCTTTTCCTCTACTAAAGCACAAAACGACGATGACGAGGACGGAGAGGAGGGATCTTCCGGCTCCGCCGGATTCAGCAGCAAGAACCATGCACCTGCAAAAGCTGTCAAGGAGAAAATGGGTAACTCTGAGGAGGGGGAGGACGAAGGCGGCGAAAATCAACAGGAAGAGGAAGAAGCAGCACGGAAGAAGGCGGCGTCACACCACAAGGGTAAGGGACATTTGACTGTTGAGTGCATCACATGAATGTAAAACATGCAAATGAAGCCAAAGAGACACAAAAAGGATCAAAGAGCCCGGTTGAGGCTACAGAGAAGGAGGCAGAACAAGCCAAAGACCTGCAGCAGCATCAGGGAATGCACCAACAGCAGTCCTTTTATCACGTCAAGCCACTCCGCGGACAAACACGCACGCGGCTCTCCGACCCGTATCACAGTAGCGACATCCATGCAGCAATTGAGACGGCTCGGTTGCGTTTCGCTGCAGCAAGGAAGGCAGCAGCATCTACTAGCTCGGCCGACGAGGAGGACTTCGAAGAAGAGCCGGGCACGTCTGAGTCAACCGATGAGGAAGAACAGCAGACCTCGGACCTTGCAAGGTCCCGAAATACTAGAGAAAGGAGGAGTCGGCAAGAGGCACTTGCCACAGAGGAACTAGAGGCCGAAGAAGAAATCTTGGCAGCAGAGAAAGAAGCAGCACGAACACAAGCCTCACTTGAGGACGAGCACAAACTCCTCGAAGCCGCTGAAGAGGTGCAGCAGGCACAAACTGGACTCAAAGCATGTGCACAAGGGTCTTTCCTCAGCTGTCGGCAAGCTCAAAGACGACGCCCTCAGCGAGAACCTGATGGAAGGGGTACTTCCCCATAACAGTATCTACTCAGCTGCGCCGCACTCCCGGGGGATAGAGAATATGGAACTAAAAATCAACGGCCAACCCCGCCGCCCCACCCCCCCCACCCCTCAAACCTCCTAAACAAAATGAATAGGGTTCTGCAAATGGCCGTGCCCTACGGTGAACCATGCAACTGGTGGATTTGTCACTCTGCAAACGCTGAGAAGGCGCTGGAGCGTCTGGGCGCATAACGTGGCATGTTAAGGCCCCTATCGATGTTACGGTTACCTCCTAACATGGGACTAATAAGCCTGTTAACCCCTAAGCTATACGGTGCACCACTAATACAGTCTAGCGTGAGTAGCGAGTGGACCGCTGAGCTGCGGAGGTATACACTAAAATCAAGCTTTAAGTTCGCATGTATTTCTGGGCCGTTAGTCGTTAACACGCCAGGTACAAAAGCCTCATCCCAGTTCAAACAATGTCTCCTGTGTTTTCTTTGGAGCAAAACGCGAGCACCAACCAGGCCCTGGGCGCCGGCATACGTGCTGCATTACTAAACCCCAGCTCTAGCAGAGGTAAAACGTCACCGTTTAAGGGGATTGAGCGTTCGGGCCCCTTCTGCGGTTGACAGTCGTGGTAAATCTGCGGTTGTATAGCTGACGCTTCTTTGCCCGACCAGTAACCGGCTTCTTCTTCTCCTGCTTCTGCACCTTGGGGGTTTGGTTCTTGACCTTACCCGCACGGGCGAGAGAGCCGTGGACCTTTCCTGCGTCAAACACAATACATAAAAAGTAACTAAAATGAGAAACTTTCCTCAAAATGCACTGCACCAGTAGTAAACACGACCAATACTACTGTTGCGATACGGGCAACNAGAAACTTTCCTCAAAATGCACTGCACCAGTAGTAAACACGACCAATACTACTGTTGCGATACGGGCAACAAGCGTCCGTCATAATCGGAAAGCCTCCTGCCACCAAATACATCCAAAATTAAGCGTAAATCCGATTTTATGCGATGCAAAAGTCTTCAAATCTAGCTTTGGGCTATCCGAAAGCTCGCCAAGGCACAGCTCCCATGGAGGTTGTGGGGTGCTCCATGAATAGTCGGTTCAGCCCACTTCCGCTCATTCCCCCAACCCCACGACCCCAACACATTGTATAATGCAGAGAGTACGTGTGAGATACACTAATACGCATACGCAGAGATTTTCTGCCGCATCAAACGCGAAGGAGAGCAAAGGCATGCATCACTTGCCGCGTGCTGCGCGGATCACGAAGGATATACTCACCCATTTTCGACCGCTCGAACTGCAAATGGTATTGATTCGCAGAAAGGAGAAATCCGAAAACGAACACTGTAAACAAATTAGCAGTGGTTGAGGCACTTTGCCTCCCCAGCAGCATGCCAAACCAGCAGATCAGCACGCGTGCCCAGGGGCTGTGCAGGGCCATGGGGCTCGCTGGCTAGAGATTCCTAGACACCGTGCGGGAGAGCGGATATATCAATATAGTTGTTCTCGTTCACTGACTGTTAAGTTCGATGATCTTCCGGAAAGTACCGCTAGAAGAAGAAAGAAGGAGGGAGGAATTGATGTGTTTGCCCGCACAGCAAGTCATACTGGGACACGCCTACATGTTGCGCAACACTAGAATGCTGGGCAGAAACGGCCTTCGGAGGCTATATGATGCGAAATAATTACAATGAAGGTGCACGTAAAAGTAAAATAAATGGGAAAACCTACCCCTATGGCGGATAAGTCTTGCGTATCGAGCTTAGATTTGTCCGATGGATTGTCTTAATGTAGCATGAGTTAGCACAGAGTTAGCTCAGGAGCCTTTCGACGGTTTTGGCGTTCTGCGTGTAAGTGCTTGCAAACGTTATACAAGTTCGTTCCGAGGCAGAGCATGCAGCAAAGGAAGCTTCCCTAAAGCTTCCTTTCGTGCACGCGTGGGGCTGGCTTGCTCTGCCAGCCATTTACGTCTTTGCCTTCATTGCGGNAAGCTTCCTTTCGTGCACGCGTGGGGCTGGCTTGCTCTGCCAGCCATTTACGTCTTTGCCTTCATTGCGGCTCGTCTCTGGTCTGATAAAGGCCAGAGAACAAGCGTTACACTTAAGGTTGCGCAGGCTCGTTCACGTAGCCTACATAAGCTTCCTGCAAGCAAATGCAAATGCTCTGTAAGTGTATACTGATATAAGGCGTGTGGTAAAGGAAGTTTCGTTGTGCTTGCATACGGGGCTCGCTTGCACCCCGTAGCGAGGTGCGACTCAACTCGTGTCCGGCTCCTCGCTCCACCGCAACCCCAGGCCCTGAGAGGCTGAGCACAGGATGGCTGGGGACAGGGAAGGGTGGTCAGCCGCTTTTGGGGAAGGTCTGGTCTTTAGACTTTGGTTCTATTTCAGCTCGTGAAAGCCCTCGAATAGCACGAGCCTCTCCTGTTACCAGGCCGCAGATCCGGCGAGTGCAAAGAGAGTCCTCGGACTTATTCGAGGACCGTTGCGTGCAGGAATCAAGCAAAATACTTGATGTAAGAGCTCCCTAAAAACGGCTGATCCCCTTTTGTCGCCAGTCGCCCTGGTCGCAGCGGCGCAGGCCCTGGGGCTCCGGGAGAGGAGGCGGCCTGATATTTGCAGTACCGTGCTGCAATAATGATGCAAATTAGCTTCACGTCGAAGCACACCCAAGTCTTCTGTGTGCCAGCTTTATCTCCGCAGACATTTGTTGAGCACTTTTATTGGCTTCCAGGCAGCATACAAAGGCCACGCGTATGCGCCTGTGCAGAGGTCGGATGGGCGATGATTCACAGACTGACACGAGTTGCAGCGGAACTCGTTACAACTAATGATAGAGGGCATTTTCTTTGCTGCATGCTTTATATGTGTGGACACATTCACTCGAGGGTCCTCCGACGGAAGTGAGTTGCAAGGGAGTAGCAATACTTGAAAAAAAAATTCAAAGGGACAGCTGGCGTTCTCTCCAGTCACCAGGCAGCCCATGACCGGCGGTCGAATACTACATTAACGCTAAAGACGACTGCTGAGCACTTCCTTTGCCCTCAGCGGCCAGCTAGCAGACTAGGAATGCATACACCAGCTCCACACGATGGTCCACGCTGCGCCCAGGACTACTCGAGACGAAGGAGACAGGTTAGCTGCCTTCAAGGAACTCTTGTCTTACGTCTTTTGGCTTCACTGCAAGTCCGACGGTCAACTCGGACGGTCCTCGAATAGGGCCGAGCACTCTAGATACAGTCTTCCGGTAAGATCCGAAGCACTCGCTAAGGAGAATGCTACAATAAAACTCGACACAAAAGCAACTGATATACTCGAATAAATCCTCTTGGATTTCAGCGGAAACCTTCCATATTCACATTAAAAACGGGATCTATATATTGCTGTTGATTGGTCTACCGCGCCGCGTGCCCCGGCTGAGCGGAAACGGTCTCCAAACAACGGGCGCGGGCGGCCAAGTCAGAGAGCCTAGATGCTCTCTCTGTTGATAAAAAATGCATTAAAAAGCAGAGAGCAGAATGCAGCCCATACTACTATTGCTGTACGTGTCGCTGTGGTGCCGTCGTCTACGTGAGACACGTGTCTGTCCGGAAGAGAGGAGGACTGCGATGGTTTCGTCGCTCGTATCCAGTATTAACCGCTGTTAAAGTTAGTGATATTCTAAATGGAACTGAGATTGCTGCTTCAATGGATTAGCAAGCTGCTGAGTAATCAACAAATGAAGTT